AGAACGGAAAAACATTGAATTTAGTATTACAATTAAAATAAAGATAAAATGTGGATACATCTGTGCCATTGCAACCGATTCTTAGTCATGTCACATAGTCTCTAACTCCTAGCTTCTCTTGTCATACGAACCCTGATCAGGAAGTCTACGTCTCTATACATGGCTTAGATCAACAATTCAATACTTCGTGGACTCATGCCATGTTTTAGTCTACCCGCCTTTAATGTTTTCCCACCCTGAGCCTACTTCAGCGAATATTTTGTGAGGAGGTAGACGGTGACTGACTGCACCCGTAGCACATAGCTCAGCCACCTGAGTGGATAACGGTTTCCAACTACATCAACTAACTTTCCTTTCCCCCAAGCTTTACACATGACTTTTACGTTACGGACATGGTGCACCACGGCGCGACCTTTACTACGAAGGAAACGGTAGTCAAACACCTGAAGCCTTCTCATGTCCTCCACATTTATAAGTGTGATTGAGCTGCTATGCAGTGTACTTAATCCCTAAGAAGGAGTCGAAAGTTCACCGGTGCGCTGGATAGGACAAGTTGGTAAAAGAAAAGCAAATCTTTTGTGTCTGAGCAGAGGTTTTGTCGGCCACTGACCCAGCACAGGTGATCCAATGTCGCAGGTTAGTGAAGTGGTCAATAGACCCAACCATTTTACTCATGAATGTTAGACAAGGCACCAGTCGAGATCAGTCCTGCAGCTGATTTGCATTTTGTGGTGAGAAGCGCATCCGAAGCATCCTTGAATTGTCATTTTAGGTTTCGAACAGATTCTGTATCTAAAGACAATCAACTTTGTTAATTCGTTTGCATAGGATTTCGTAAATACATCCCAGATGTCTTTCTGCTTGCCTCAGCTTCCTTACGTCAGCGTTAAAGTCACCTGCTAAATATAAACGTTCTGCTTTATGTAGCAAAATTGAAAGCTTTTGATAAAATCCAACCCTACGCATCATCTAAACTGCAGTTGGTGAGTGCGTGGGCGGGATTACGAATAGGCGTTGCCTAGTTCCACGATCCTTCGTAGTCCTTACAGACCCATTCAGTCGAACAGTACGCAAACGGCTGTTGACTGGTATCCAGTCAAGAAGCACACTTTCTGCACTGCAGCTCAATGCTATGCATGCACTAGCAAGTCCACGACAGCTAGCCACTGCGTCCGCAAATGCCTTTAAAGTGAGTCTTGAAGATTCACAACTATGGCCAGGTAAAGTCAATTTAATTACCACACTCGAGGCCTGTATACCTGTGTCAGGGACTGCATACATCCATGAATAAAGATTCTGGAATTTTGACGAGTGATGCTTTTTGTCCGATTTGGCATAGAGTTCGGACGTCGAAAGCTTCTACATGAAATCGATGATGGGGTCTTAAGACACTAGGAACGATTTTTCGGTGGCTTTGACCGTTGGTAGTGGTTTCAGAGTGAGAGGTTGAGAAAGGCATATGAGGCCTAATATTAGTATCAGAAGGCAAAGGTAAAAAAGAGAGTTAAAGAGGACAAGGTGTCTGTTCGGGTCTTGTGTACTATTGGATGGCTGACACTTCGCCCCTAGACCCCTATCATAGAGTCACAGTATACATTATAGTGACCCACAGTAACGCTTCAGGTCCATGGCATCCATTCGGATCGTGAGTGAGACGTAGGTGTTGACCTCACAACTCTCCTCTCGGTTGAGAAGGCTATTTGAAACCTGAAACGATGCGAAGCAGCAGGATCTGACGTTCCACTACCTGAATCTTTCAAGAAAGAAAGTGGAGAATTACTGAGTAGAGTAACGGAGGTACTAAGTAGCGTATGGGAATCAGGGGTAGTCCCGTCAGACTGATCTGTCCCAGTGATCATTGCAGTGTTTAAAAAGGGAGAGGAGTCTTCTTGTGACAACCATAGGGGAATCAGTTTGGCAAATATTGTGTCCCAGATCCTTGGGTCCATAGTTATCCGACACGTAACTGAGCTTGAGTACAGCAAAATAGAGAAGACCAGGCAGGATTCCAGTCTGAACGAGGGCACACCAGTCAGATTTTCAGCCTTCATCAGATTATGGAACACAGGCGCACTGACTTGCGACCTACACTTGCCATATTTTTCGACCTGAAGGTGGCGTTCGACTCTGTCGGCCGTGATGTTTTGTCAGTGTGTGACTGTAATGGAGTACCAGACAAGTACATAAGGCTAATCAGAGCTCATTAGTCGAACCCACGCAGCCGTATGTGGGCTTATGTAGAGTTGTCATGTGAATTGACAACTAGTGGTGTCCACTAGAGATGCCTGCTGTCACTGGTCCTATTTAACATCGTTGGAGATGTAGTAATTGAAATAACCTTAGGTAAGTCTGACTTCACAGGGATTGATCTACTCTATGATAGGCATCTGGTTGGTATTATTGTACTTCTTGGTGAAGACGCTGATGAAATGCAGTGTCTTCTGAACGCGCTGAGCATTCACACCTGTGAAATGTACGATTATGGTCCAGGACTGGTCTGCACTTACTCTCAGTGAAGTGGTTGAATGCATCGACCCCTTTACTTAATTGCTAGCCCAAACAGTCTGGTTGTTGATAAAGTGTCAGTTCGGGTTTGAAAGCCTCGATTGACATTCGCCAACTTGCGTCATCACTGGCATCGGTCGATGGGGTATCCGACAATCTATCAAGGGATGAGTATAATGTGCTTCAGTCCCTTCTGTCTTGTTATACGTCTGTGAGACATACTACTGAAAGAAGATATGAGGAGACTACAAGTTTTCGACCATAGGTATCTTTGTAGCATTGCTTGCGTTCGGCGGAATCATTGTGTGAGCACTGTTGAAATTGGGTGAAGGATACTAACCAAAATCGGCAAATCCGTCGATGAGATTGTGAATCTTCATTGACCGAAGTGGCTTAGATACCTACCTCGACGTATAATGCTAGTAGAAGTTGGAAGATGGTTTATTGTAATCAGACCAAAACGTGACATTAGTCCATGAAGTTTCTGACTATTGATCTGAGTTGTTTAGGGAGGTGCAGACTTTGTCGCTGTGGTAGGTTGTAGCTCCACTTTAATCTGTTTAATTAGAATTGTTACAGTGAAATCGTATTTACTGGATGACGTTTCAGACAATTTATTGTCCATATTCATGTCACAAGACGTGGATATTGGCAACCAAACTCGAGAAGAGCTAGGCAGATTTCGAGCCCACATTACGGTGGATCGATCATATATTTATCCTTCAACAGGTCTTAAAACACAGGTGCCCGATACTTGCTATATTATTTCTTGACCTGAAAACAATATTCGACGCCGTCAAGCGAGAGATTTATTGGCGATGTTCGTCATTAATCTCCACTGTTACCTTTATTCTTTAAACTTCGTTAGGGATGCAATAATGAATGTAACCCTGCCCACCACTCACTTCTCAGAGATTGATTTACTACTCGGAAGGCACCTGTTTGACGTATAGTATGCCAATAACAAGTGTGTTAGGTGTGGACGTTGGCAAAATACAGTTTCCTGAAAACCTTGAACAGAAATCTGATTGTTTCTAATGTGTTTTTCGCACCTAACGCTTCAGGGCCTGCCTATACCACTACTTGGTTTAAGGGGGAGCATAAGATGATGGTGTGTCATCCAGTTCACTTGCGTAGAGAGTACCACCAGCTCTAAATTGCTTCTTGCTGAGGCATTCCTAATTCTGGTATAGAGATGATTTGTCATTTGCTAACGTATACCATCTTTGGCACCTGACAGATATCTGATCATTTGCGTCTTTCTTGCATCACTTGAGTCTGGTGGTGGGAAAGTGTTAAAATAGTACATGGGATTGTTGCACGATAGCCCAAGTCCCCACCTAGCTCATCGGGTGTACATTGATAGATGTTGGTTGGTTGAAGGCAATCAACTGGAAGCCCTAAACCAAGGTTTCGTGCTTGTTAGCATTCGTCAGCAAGGCGTATCTGCACCCTCTTGGGAATTGATGTTTCCTCTGGGGTTCGAACCCGTGCACGAATACAAATACTCGCTAGGTTTTCACTAATTTACGCTATTTATGGCGCTAACTAGATATTTGATTGTCTTTTCAGGGTCAAATGTACTTCATATTAGTTCACTATCTTTCTATATGGGTGTGAAACATGGTCACTGGAGGTAGAGGAGATGAGACTTCAAGCGTTCGACGACTATCACGGAACTGTTAAGTTAGTAGGGCAGAGTTTCAGGTAAAAGAGGTAAAGTTAGATGATGACACTGCACGGCTTCCTCGGGTAAGGCAGCTGAAGTAGGTTATGTACGACCAGTCATCATCTACTTCAGTGTACCATTGTAGTGAGCGCTGCTGATCAGAATGGATATAAGTAGTATATGTTGAGAAAGCGTCAGAAATCATAGGGAATCGCCAGTAATGGGTAAAGATTCTTCTCAGAGAAACGCAAGAGACAATGTGGGCGTATTAGGAGTAAATCAAGATAGAAGCAGAAGAGAAAATGAAGCACATTGTGCAGCTGACTATCTTGGCGGAGTGTACAATATTTGATGACTACCGCACAAGATGTTAGTAATAAACATTCCTTCCTTCTTCTCCTTCTTGTCGTTTCCCACACTATGTTAGCTAAAGTAAGAATAAACTGTCAAAGGCAGTTAGACTAAAATCTGGTATCAGTCGATGAAGTATCTGACTGCCGGTTTAAAAAGCGCAAGTCCAAAAAACGGCCGACACCGAGATTACTGGTGATAACGCTCAGATACGCCTTGTAGACGAATGCCAGCAAGGATGAAACCCAGGTCCAGGACTTACTGCAAATTGCCTCTAACCAACCAACTAGTACCATATTGTTTATGTCTGTTTTCGCAACAATACATTGCTTGCTCACGTTGGGAATAACAGTCATTGATCTTAAAGAACAATCCTTTTCATAATTTTCTGCACTTTATTACAACCTTGGCTTAACCTCGTAAATTCTCTACTTTCATATTTAATTTACTAACACTCTCTCTCCTCATTTTCTAGTCTTCTCTCACGTACTGAAAGATGACGAGCCAAATTTATTCCACGAGTTTCATCTGTCCTGCTTACAAATGTGAAGTGCAAACTCAAAGTTTTGAAGGTGCTAATAGTCATGCTCAGGGATCCGATACTATAAATGAATGCTCAGATGCAAGTCATACTTTGAATATATGTTAGTTATAAAGTAGTATACAACTAATTTACCAGATCCTAAGGAAATTCAAAAGATGTTTTGCAACATGTTCACTACTCCTAAGTTTATTGAATGGTTGCGACATGAGTGGTTGTACTCAAGTATAGACAGGTACGTCTAGCCTCTGATAACTTTTATTTGTAACAGGGAAATATTTTTGAGGTTTAATGACTTTCAGCTATTACTGAAAGAACGTTTCCCCACCTTAAAGATACGAAGATTAACTCGAGCTCAGTGGTCTACCATTCGACGCATTATAGGGAGGCCACGTCGGTTCAGTGTCACATTTCTTTCTGAAGAACGGCATACTCTGCAAGAAAAACGTAAAAATATCCAATACATACAGCATCTTATTTCTAAAAGTTCTCTCGGCCCAATGGCATCAGAACATTTAGACAATCTCCTAGCATGCTTACCACCAACAATTCGCATTCCTCTTCGATTGCCGGTTGGCACTAAAGTGTGTGTTAAGTAAGAATATTGTTTAATCTCTGGTTTTAATCTTCAGTTTTTGCACTCCGATACAGAGCTTGTATCTTGGATTCATCCAAGATCCCTGCTCAGGAGATGGTCATTATGGTGTTTGGATTGAAGAGTTAATCCTCTCAAATGACTACTTAGAAATGAAATCTTCTAGCTGTTATGGGCTCCGAATTGTTCCAGAGGAAGATGTATTCCCCTTACCAAATCAACCAGTTTCAGCTTCTGTAACGCTTTCGGAGATACGTTATCATTTCAAGGAAAACATGATGAGCAGTAATGTTAGTTTTTATCCCTCTGTATTTAGTACGAATACCGAAAATCCAAGCAGCTGGGTAGGCGACTTGGCTAATAACCGTTTGGACTACGTTGATCGTAAGTAAAACCTTTTTCAATGCAATAATTCATTAGAATCTTCATCTGCTTGTGGACCTCTGTTAAGTGAAGGTATACGTGCCACAGAATGTCATCTGCAAGTGAACAATTCACAAATTTCGACCGGAGATATCTTAATCTCACAACCTAAATATAATAGTCCTCCGGTAGTATCATCGTACGCAGAACAATCAATGTTTTCACAGTGCAATAACCATCAGAGTCATACGCAGTTTCTCATTAACATAGTAAGTTTTATGGTAATATCCATATGACATGCTATCTAAAATTCTTATCAAACTGGTAGTCTTATTTCTGTGTGTACATTACACTTACTATCACACTGACGTATTTTCTTTTCTGTGGAAAGCCAGTAAGCTTTGAACTGAATATCACTCTGCCAGACTGACAACCACCAGCTCAGTTGCTTCCACTTTGGCTGGGGCAAGTAGGTAGTATCATAAGCTCTCACAGTGAGTGTAGCTCAAAGCATAGTATACATGCGTATGGCGTTGTGCCACACATTTTCTGCATGCCACTATATTTGAACTTTGGTAAGGTATCTGTTAATAAACGTCATTAATAAATCAACCTATGCATACTTTAATGACAAAATTTATTCAGAACTACGTACCTGGACGGAATACAGACAAAAAACATGATGTGCACTGTTTTGCAGTCAGAAGCGAAGAACTTTAGTTGCCTTAAATTCCTTGCTTGTCTGAAAAGTTCCATTAGCCCTGATGGGTTTTTGATAAATGAAATCTTGACATGAATGCAAATACCTCGACTACCTTCTACCGACTGATGTTGCTGCTCAACGATGAAGTCTCTTCTTATAATCAGTCCTCCACTCACCGCTCGTTTGTATTAATTCTGCATTACCTTGGACTTTTTTGGTAATGCAACGGACGATTAAAGTTCTCAAAGTAGTATCTCTGAAACCTCACATCAATGTAGATATGCATCCTACTGTCCGCATGCCATTTCAGTGTAAATCGTAAGCCCCATTAATCAAACTCTAGAATTTGAATCTCAAAGTTTTATTACTGTTATTGCATTCTCTGAGCCGGATGTTTTGATCGTGAAGCTTTAATGAGTGATGGTATATCATCCGTGTGATAGCTGCTGCCTTGGCGTGGTAGCCAGGTTTGTTTATCACAATGACCTAACCACATACGCTGGCTGGAAAGACTGTTCCTCACGGTCCTACCATGTCGGTAGGTCTGTTTGATATTGACAAGACAAAAAGCAGTTATCATCATATGGTAAATAAATAACAAACGGTTTAAAAAATATGAAGGGTATTCAGGGTGAAGATCTACTACTGACTGAATTGGATGTGAAAACAGTAAGGTGTTTCTTTATGAGGACTAGCAAGTCTATGCTGGTGGTGCTTTCTCTTGGCTCTAAAAATATCACACCTTCCTCCCCAAGTGCATTTCAATACCGATGGTATACGTTTTTCTTGTCCGGTGGTAACAATCAAATCTGGATGGTGTCTGGTTCTCTGAGATAAGTAGTGTGATAGTGAAGCTTTCATCATCATTCCATAAGACGTCATCAGTACAAACCTACTGCTGCCAGCACTAAGCCCCTTTCAAAATCCTCAGCCTCCCACCCTTAGATCTTTGCTAACAATCGAAGTCCGCGAAATACCATCCCTTATCTCTTAAAACGTCGCTGTCAGTATCACATTGGAGCTTTCAACGTCCGGACGTTTTACTAGATCGAACAACAGGCATCTCTTACCGAAGCTCTGGAGTCTCGAGTTATGGATGCATGCTGTGTTTCTGAGACGTATACAGAACTCAAGTGTGATCATTCCTGTGATCTCACCTATCAAATCTGATTAATCTGTGAAATTCATGCTACGAATGTTCCGAGATTCGTAAGCCTGTGCTCATGGACTTGACGGCATATGTATAACCTTAAGTTGTAGAGCATGGAGTGCGCTTCTCTGCTGGGTACTAATCAACATCCGTCTGTGCTCTGAGCCACTGGATGGACCTGTAGGAAGTGGGAAAGATCGTGACACATTGATACCAACACATCATCTCTGCCTATGGGCCTGGCAACTGGAGTTCGGATGGTACGAAAGATGAATTCTACCAGATGTCGATTTCGCTACACAGCGGAACATTTAATGTAGTCGTTGGGGTGGACGACTTCAAGGCTGAGATAGGGTAACTGAGCCAGTGGGGAAAGTGTCTTGGAGGTAACTGTGGTATCTGATAACGGTGATCATCTCTTACAATTTTGTGACAATCACTTGTTTGCCATGAGGTTGAACTGGGGTCCTCTAGACGACTGAAAACGATAATCGGGTGACAATCGCACAGCTGTATATATTCTTTTTCATCTTCGAAGATTTGATTATCTTTCACTAATCTTCATTTATTAATTAACTGTCTCTTTTTATACACACTTGTTCATCTTAATACCACTTTTCCTACTGACCTTTTCGTTGTATGTTGCTATAAAATGGGGCATCTAGAACTGATGTTGTTCTTTGCCAAGTTCTACATTAATTCGTTTGTCTATCTTTTGGTGGCGAATGAACGCTTTTTGTGTAAAATGTCTTAGTTTATTACCAATAGAAATATTTGATCTACCACCATTTTTTCCGCTCATATAATTCCTAATTTTCCATTTATTTTTTACAGATTAAATTTTACAAGATTTTGGAGCGCAAGCATTCATCTGTTAAAACACTAAAACAACTGAATGATACTGCTGAAGTAAAGGTATTGGTGAGAAATATATATATATATATATATATATATATATATATATATATATATATATATATATATATAATCTTTATTCAACTCTTTTTTTGTTTCTCATAGCTTGCAGAAAATCGAGATAACATTACCTTACAATTTCAGCATATCTATGCCAATTTAGTTCTATATTTAAATCAACTTAATCGAGAACTGAAACACCATATGGATCAAGTACTTTTACATATATCTACTGTAAGTTTATTTTTTCTAAGATAATTACGTTTGTGTGCAATAATATACATGACTTAGCATTTAATTAGCATCTAAATAATTTGCAGACATCTTATAGGCAAAAAGTTAGAGTAACGGTAACGACGTACGAAATGACACTTTCTGGTGTGTTTTTCAGTTACCACACTACACAACCACGGGTGAACTGAGCAAGAGGAATGATGATGGTATTAATAGTAGTCAAAATTCCTAAGTTGTAAAGTGGATAGGAGATATACAATATTCTGAATATATAGAAAATGCTGAGGTGTAGATGGTTTTGTATTACTCCTATAGACTTTTTCGGTGTATCACACAAGTTCTGCAACGATCAGATTAGGTTTCTTTGATAGAACCAAACTGTGAGTTCCACAGGACCCTTCTGCGCTGTTCATAACAGCAAATACGTTCTGCTTTGGTTTACATTTCCTTGATCAGGTTACTTTTAGTCTGTCCTGCTCGTATCAATATAGCTGAAAGAATTAAGCATGTGTAATACATACTCTAACGACTGTAGTTGGTCCAAGTTCACAACTCAGCAGACTGATTTACTTCTTTTACGTAGCACTTTGCATTTTTGTCGGCACTGGAGACACGATCATTCCAACGTAGGAGCGATTCTGTTAAAAGCGTTGGTAATGAAACAGTGGCATATATTCCACCTTTAATAACTATCATTTTGTTAGTGGGTTCATGATTTTCAAACGGATAGCAATTTTATGAGGTAATTTTTGTAATTTTGTGTTGGGGTGTGTAGTTTAACTGCTAAGAACTTCAATATCGAAAGATCCCGACTGGTACCGTAGGATATCTCCCCACACAAGTTATTTACAAATTAACTACTTGTGGATATATATATATATATATATATATATATATATATATATATATATATATATATATATATATATGACACAAAACCTTTATGTAGAACTTTGGTTCCATCGAAATCTATCTTTGGCCCTGTTTCTATCGAATATAGTGTTGTAGCTGATTTATTCTCCAATCTCTTAATGTTTGTTAAGGTCTTCGGAATTTATTTCATACATTGTCTATGTTCCTTGATCCTAACATTCACCTGCCTGGATGTTTTCTCTACATATGCTCCACCACAATCTGAGCACTTAATTTCTTAGACACAATTCTGCTGGCTTTCTGTCGATAATACGTGCTTGACCTTCATCAAAGCAGAACGCAGATTATTTATCTTAAGGAAATAAACTTTTATGCCATGGCTGTTGGGAATTCTGATTTCTCCCGGTCTCTTCGCGATGTGGAATCATCACAGCGTTGATCCACTTCTTCCACTTCATGTTTCAAGATTCTCTTACCAAATCCTCCAGGACAGTTATTGGCTATAAGTATGGATTGAATTAACTAACTTAAACTCGTTTTTGTCTTCTTCCAGTGTTACCAGAAAATTAGCTCTGTGAATGAGAGTCTTAGCAACTGTTAATCTAATTGTTAAGGTTTGTGTAATTTAATAATCCAGATATCTATCCAAATGTTTTGGGTATCTGTTTTTTGACCGGTCCAGAAAAGCTAATTGGTGAACATCAGATTCAGTCTGTTTGTAGAGCATGATATTTTTTGACACACTTTATGTCTGTAAAGTTCGTCCGGGTTATTGCGCTTAACAATAACAAACTTATCATCCACTTAACCATATTCTAGGAGCAGCCGAACATCCTATCATTGCATTATTTTCTAGTGAATGCATGAACAATCGGCAATTATCGGGGATACTAGATATACCATCTCAACGCCTTCTGTTTATCTGTATAAGTCGACTATGAACGTAAAAATTGTTTATCTTAAGCATAATTCTGGAGATTTTATAATCTCTTTCGGATCTAGTGGACAATGAATGTCTAGGTCGGTATCTGATACTAGAATATTGTTTATAACGTCTAATATATCCTTGACAGAAACATTAGTAAATAAAGAAGAGACATCAAAACTTGCCATTATTTCATATTTATCAATATAGGTTGCCATGATTCAATTCCTGGATTCATAGGGATTTTTTATTCCGTATTTTACATTTTTTTAATATTGTCTGGAGATTTTGGCTAAATCTATTGCCAAGTTGTACGTCGGTGAGTTGGTAAAATCGACAGCTGGCCGTAATGGGATATCCGCCTTGTGTATTTTTGGTAGCCCATTAAATGTGCAAGAGTTATAGCGTTTTGGTGATAGAGAGAACCAAAATCTAGTTTTTAGTTTCTCTTTCATGGGTCTTAACCTTTTTTCGCTTTGAGCTTTTTTAGGTTAAAATTATCTTTACGTAGAAGTGATAGTTTATGCTGAGATGAATTCCGACTAGTAAGATTCACCACCACTTTATTCATATCGAGATTATTCATCTTTTGTTTAATGTGCTGGCATTTAAAATCTGTTGAAGCAATCGTTCAACTTTTCTGGTTTGCCGATTTTTAGATATTTCGAGGTGATGGTTTTTTATATATGATAACGTTGTCCACAGTCGATTTTAACTCATTCCGTACAAGTGGAGTTAATATATCGATATTCTTGATACGTGAACGAAGTATTTTCACATTGCAAGTAGCTTTATGAATTCGTTCTCTGGTGAAAATTCTTATGGCTGCAAGGGATGTCACAACAGACTGTATGGAATTATCAGATGCTTTTACAATTACAGGCTTAGAATAAACGTGTTAACGTAGACACCGAAGAGTAAAAAATACAATGTACCAGCTATACAGTTCCTTTAATCATTTGGTTAGAATGCAAAGTAATTTACTTGAATCCTGGTCAAAATTTGACCGGATACTGGGCCCCAAATGAACGTATAACTCGTGACCAAATACAACTTATATCTAACTAATGTCAGCTTGTCCCTCGGAGCGAATATCAATAATAAAACCCTTATTTAAACGTTGTTAGTAATATTATGTGCACGGAATTCAGCAACGTGTCTCAGGTCGAGCACGAGGCTATTGGTGATACTTGTTCTGTGAAGGTTGATTGTTATGCTTAAATATCGTAACCCTGATAAGTGGAAGAGGAATCAAACCCTTGACTCATCGGTTGAAAGTTGACCACCCATACCGATTGGCAACAGCTTCACAAGCAGCATAAAAAAGTGTTGAGTATGCCTCGCTGACACGTGTTGCAGTTTCAGTGGTGTTTTTATGATAACTCTTCATCAATATAATTGTTTTGTTTCGGGTCTTAAATTTCTGCTTGCGGCTACACTTTTCGACAACTCTAATTTGCTCTATGTCGCTTCTCATCAATCTTAGCGGAAAAAAATTCAAAAAAATATGTTTTATACTCACAATCCAATCTTTGTAATGTTAATGGGGTATTTTTTTCCAGTTAGCAACAACCGGTCCATTTATCTCATCTAACTTTGGTGAAATATATGAATCTATGTCTGAAAATGGTTTTAATTCAGATATTGGGTACTCAAGTAGTACAGCTGATGTGGTGGGTACAACAAATGGTATGCTCGTTGAAACCTTTGAATCGTGGGATTCTGAAAAAAATGCCTGTCCAACTGCTCACCTTGAATTTTACCAACAGCCATACCCCTTAACTTATTCTAATCTTCAGGATGGAAGCGTTTTTTTCGAATATGAGGTTTGTTTTGTTCATTGTTACGGTGTTATTTAGAGTTCAGGTTAGTTTTACCTTTTTTTTCTTATTTTCAATGTATTGTATTATTTTGCCATTTTTTTACTTTGCAGGTAGCACAAGAACATAACATGATGGGACTAACTGACATCACTGACTGGAGGCGTCGTGTTGATGATGAGGCTCAAGAAATAGTCTGTAGAATGAAAGCCACTCAGGTACCTGTTTTCGCAAGTTATACTAAATAGGATTTTGAAAATTAGTTGATATGAGTTTCAAGTTCACTTAGAGGGAGTCATCAGATTGAGTACATATGCATATATCATTTTTTGAATGCCTGAGAAGTTACGTAAATCATTGCAGTGTTGGTTTCACTTAGATTTTAAAATTTAATTCGGGGTAAACATTCATTTCAATAAACAGAGATAATGGCTACAGTGTTAGGAAATTTCTTATTATCTCCAACCGTATATGTCGAACAGGTTGCAGTGTACGTGAAATGGTAATCGAATGTCGGTGTCAGAACCTAATATCCCAGCACTGACCAAAATCTATCGATTATGCTTTCAGTGTCATCACGAAACTGCGTGATACAACAGTTAATGAATGTATTTCGGAATCAGTTGTGACTTGAATAGCTAAATAGTAGAGTTTCTGACTTCAGTACTGATTGGTTTAGATTCAAATTAATAAGAGAACACAAATTATGGGCTATGCACTGCAGATGAGTGTCAACAAGCGTAAATTCTATATCGAAGTTTCCTGCTGATGGGTTTCTAAGACATAAAACGAAAATCCTATGAGATATTTCTGTAGTTAGTGATAACAGAGTATCATACATAAGTCACTTTTAGTATACTCTCCAGAAAACCCAGTGAGCCAACTGGCACAACACAGTCCCTTCTGCATGAAGCAAGTTAATAGTAAGCTTCAGAACTAGGTTTGAAGCAGGCAAACTATTGTCATGAAGGCATGTATGATAGAATTTCGTTTAAACTCATGCTTTATTTTTAATGTCAGGTGTTATGACCGACCTGTTTGTGTTTCAGATGAGCCACGCGTTTGAATCTATCAGTATAATTTCTCGCTTCATCAAGGTAAGGATTTACATAAGGAAATTCTTGAACTTGAGAGTTTGATCGGAACAAAAATGTGAACTTATTTTTCCCAAAGCTAGTCGCACGCAATCTTGTATCAGCCATCTTTTTGCATGAATTCATCACTGACAAAATAAAATGAAAATAAAGCAGAACATACAGTTCTGTAAACATACCTGCGGCATCCTCGTACTGAAAAAGTATTTTCCCTGGAATTACTGGTTATGTGATAAAGCATAAAGCACATTTTTTTTCTCTGACTGCGATAAGGTTGTGTATACAATAGTTCTTAGGCACCTCCATCAATGTAAATTCTTATATTAGCTGCCCTCAAGTTCATCATCCCAAGTAGTCCATTTAACCTGGAGGGGACGTCGTAAAAAATCGTGCCATCAATTTGAAGTTCACTGGTTTGTTGTAAAGAGTGTCAACATCAAAGGTGTGATAAATGCATGATCGACGCCAACACCATTACTATGATATGGATATTTTTTGCGGTCAGTATTAACTGTGATACCTATTTAATACCCGATCTCTTTTGAGTGTATGTCTCTCATTCATCATGTGAATGACATTTGGATAATTTTTCTATGGATATTGGGAGTTACTTTTAATGCGTAAAAGCTTGTATCGTTTTTATATTCCATTCTAAAGTAACCTCAAATGTTTTATCTTACCTTCAGGCACATAGGGCAATCAATGAAGGCAAACTAGATCTTGTAACTAAACTTATTTCCATGCTCATACATCTGAGCGTAAGTTATGATTTTAAATAGCTAACCTGCAAATATTTCATTAACAGAGTCTGTCTGATCCTCGTTATGCAAATCAGATCCCAGCTATCATTAATGATAAGATCAATGAGATTAAGCAGTATATTCATCCGAATAATGTAAAGTAAGAAAACGTTTTGTGAAATTGTTTTCTTGTTTGTAAACATTTCGTCAAAAAATAATACCACCTCATTTACTTCGGTTTTGAGAAGCTGGGTTGTATTTTAAAACTTGACTTAGCACATTATCATGATTGTTTAACATTCGTTGTTTTAATACTTGCCTGTGAACATTTAATGACTAGAGTGATTGGCATCAGCACTCAATATATAAAGTTTTGATTGAAGTTAATGTTGGTGAACTCATCAAACCTGGTGGTGAAACATCCAAATTCAAATATCATTGCTTGAAAGACACTAAATAATTATTATCCTCATAGTTCTGTTGCTTTAAGTTTATGTGTACGAACTTGCTACTGAATTGTAATGTTATTTATTATTGGACTGTTTTAGCTGCATCGAGGCTACAATTGAAAATGTCATTGGACAAATTCTCAATTCTGCCAAACTCAATCTGTTCTCGGATGCAGAGATAACCTAAGACTTAAAGTTATCAATTTCCAGGCAATATTTAACATACATTTTTGTTTCTCTTTTAAATAGCTTTGTTAAATTTGTTTGCATTTATTTTTCCTTAGGTTGTACTTCTTTAATTTTTGCATTTTGTTTTTTTCTTCGAGTGAATACAAAATAGCGGTTAAATTTACTCAATAAGATATCTGTTGCTCCAGATTATTCAGCACAAACAGTATTTGTAAATCAAATAGGCAAATAATATTTACTGTCCGACTAATATATTGACCTAAAACTACACAAATTAACACGAGTTATTAAAATTTGTAGTCAAAACATGATGCATTCTCGTTAGCTTTTCCCACATATATGAGCAAGGAAAATCTTGAATAGTTTCTTATATTGTCTGCATAACTGAGTATGTCCAGGTTTAATTGATCTTACAAGACTGAAAAGTCAAACAGATGCATGCGCTGCCTCAACCTAACGCCGATACCTACGACTCATTTATGGATTAGTGCGCTGTGTTTGCTTCACTTTCATTGCAAAGTCTCTCTGCCTAGTCTTCTGATAAAATAGGTCAACGTAGAATCTTGCGCAAAAGTGCATCAGTTCACGTTCTCACATTTCATTTCAGCATGCATAAAAGAAATGGATAGGTAAAAAACAATGTTAAAGAATGTTTGGGATGCGCCTCTCGCCGTCTATATGCTAACTACTGCTCTAGGACTGGTCTAGCGGTGCTCCTGCTAACAGTAGGGAGTAAAGTAGCTGATTGGGTTGAATACTTCACGCACCTGGGAAGTCGGATCAGCCCTGGTGGGTCAGTGATTGACGAAATCTCCCCACGGATACGAAAGCCTCGACCAGTGTCCACCAACTTACGATATCCGATTGTCGAATGTTACTGTGCTACAGTTCTCTCTGTTCTACTATGTGGCTGTGAAGCATGACCAATAGGGGTAGGGGACAGAAAATGCTCCTGATTTTTGACCACCGTTGCCTTCGTAACAGGCCGTGTATTGTGTTGTCACCATGTCAGTTTTAAGGAGGAAAGGAAGGCCAGTTGATGTGATTGTGGACCTTCATCAACTGAGATGGCCCAGACACGTGTTACGCATACCTAGTTACCGTCTACCACGTCACGCAATGTTAGTTGAACTAGGTTCAGGCTAGGAAAGGCTCAGATCGGCCAGACTAAAACATGTGGGGAGATACAGATTAGCCAGTTGGGGTCCACATGACAACAGAAACTAGTGGTTTGAAACTCTATGTGATGTGGCTCAGATGTATCCACACATTATGTTCATCTTAACCGTCGTGCTGAATTCGGCATTTTCTCCTTCCTCTCTCTTACTAGTTTCGACCGACTTTTGTTTATTTCTTCATCTTATGCTGATATAAAGTGTGGCAACGGGCTGTTATGCAGTAATTCCTGGTCCTATGTTGATACCGATGATGAATATTTACGAAGGAAAATCTATGTGAGGAGTATTTAGTGAATCATTAAGTATCCGAAAATTACAAGACTGTATGTATCTGCCCTATTGTAACTGATTTTGAACCATATCAACAAGATTCTTCAACCGTTCATTTTCTACACCTCAAGAAACTCAACGTGGTAGACTAAGCGGCCTACATCAACAATCAGAGTACGTACAGATTGGTGTCACTCCTGTCTTCAGTTCTTAGTAATATGAGTATTCTCCGTGGCGGTCCGAGTCAAATACCTCACTTCCACACGTCAAAATATCACGCAGCAGGACGAAAAACGCAAAAATAAATATCGGAATAAAAAGCTGTAGATAGCCATGACTACAGACATGTGAAGCAGATGACGAAGTAGTAGTAAAAAGATGAGTAACGGATGCACCAGCGCCATGGCGATCGGTCCTGAGCGTTATCACCAGTAATCTCGGTGTCGGCCGTTTTTTGGACTTGCGCTTTTTAAACCGGCAGTCAGATACTTCATCGACTGATACCAGATTTTAGTCTAACTGCCTTTGACAGTTTATTCTTACTTTAGCTAACATAGTGTGGGAAACGACAAGAAGGAGAAGAAGGAAGGAATGTTTATTACTAACATCTTGTGCGGTAGTCATCAAATATTGTACACTCCGCCAAGATAGTCAGCTGCACAATGTGCTTCATTTTCTCTTCTGCTTCTATCTTGATTTACTCCTAATACGCCCACATTGTCTCTTGCGTTTCTCTGAGAAGAATCTTTACCCATTACTGGCGATTCCCTATGATTTCTGACGCTTTCTCAACATATACTACTTATATCCATTCTGATCAGCAGCGCTCACTACAATGGTACACTGAAGTAGATGATGACTGGTCGTACATAACCTACTTCAGCTGCCTTACCCGAGGAAGCCGTGCAGTGTCATCATCTAACTTTACCTCTTTTACCTGAAACTCTGCCCTACTAACTTAACAGTTCCGTGATAGTCGTCGAACGCTTGAAGTCTCATCTCCTCTACCTCCAGTGACCATGTTTCACACCCATATAGAAAGATAGTGAACTAATATGAAGTACATTTGACCCTGAAAAGACAATCAAATATCTAGTTAGCGCCATAAATAGCGTAAATTAGTGAAAACCTAGCGAGTATTTGTATTCGTGCACGGGTTCGAACCCCAGAGGAAACATCAATTCCCAAGAGGGTGCAGATACGCCTTGCTGACGAATGCTAACAAGCACGAAACCTTGGTTTAGGGCTTCCAGTTGATTGCCTTCAACCAACCAACATCTATCAATGTACACCCGATGAGCTAGGTGGGGACTTGGGCTATCGTGCAACAATCCCATGTACTATTTTAACACTTTCCCACCACCAGACTCAAGTGATGCAAGAAAGACGCAAATGATCAGATATCTGTCAGGTGCCAAAGATGGTATACGTTAGCAAATGACAAATCATCTCTATACCAGAATTAGGAATGCCTCAGCAAGAAGCAATTTAGAGCTGGTGGTACTCTCTACGCAAGTGAACTGGATGACACACCATCATCTTATGCTCCCCCTTAAACCAAGTAGTGGTATAGGCAGGCCCTGAAGCGTTAGGTGCGAAAAACACATTAGAAACAATCAGATTTCTGTTCAAGGTTTTCAGGAAACTGTATTTTGCCAACGTCCACACCTAACACACTTGTTATTGGCATACTATACGTCAAACAGGTGCCTTCCGAGTAGTAAATCAATCTCTGAGAAGTGAGTGGTGGGCAGGGTTACATTCATTATTGCATCCCTAACGAAGTTTAAAGAATAAAGGTAACAGTGGAGATTAATGACGAACATCGCCAATAAATCTCTCGCTTGACGGCGTCGAATATTGTTTTCAGGTCAAGAAATAATATAGCAAGTATCGGGCACCTGTGTTTTAAGACCTGTTGAAGGATAAATATATGATCGATCCACCGTAATGTGGGCTCGAAATCTGCCTAGCTCTTCTCGAGTTTGGTTGCCAATATCCACGTCTTGTGACATGAATATGGACAATAAATTGTCTGAAACGTCATCCAGTAAATACGATTTCACTGTAACAATTCTAATTAAACAGATTAAAGTGGAGCTACAACCTACCACAGCGACAAAGTCTGCACCTCCCTAAACAACTCAGATCAATAGTCAGAAACTTCATGGACTAATGTCACGTTTTGGTCTGATTACAATAAACCATCTTCCAACTTAATCCAACTTCTACTAGCATTATACGTCGAGGTAGGTATCTAAGCCACTTCGGTCAATGAAGATTCACAATCTCATCGACGGATTTGCCGATTTTGGTTAGTATCCTTCACCCAATTTCAACAGTGCTCACACAATGATTCCGCCGAACGCAAGCAATGCTACAAAGATACCTATGGTCGAAAACTTGTAGTCTCACGGACGTATAACAAGACAGAAGGGACTGAAGCACATTATACTCATCCCTTGATAGATTGTCGGATACCCCATCGACCGATGCCAGTGATGACGCAAGTTGGCGAATGTCAATCGAGGCTTTCAAACCCGAACTGACACTTTATCAACAACCAGACTGTTTGGGCTAGCAATTAAGTAAAGGGGTCGATGCATTCAACCACTTCACTGAGAGTAAGTGCAGACCAGTCCTGGACCATAATCGTACATTTCACAGGTGTGAATGCTCAGCGCGTTCAGAAGACACTGCATTTCATCAGCGTCTTCACCAAGAAGTACAATAATACCAACCAGATGCCTATCATAGAGTAGATCAATCCCTGTGAAGTCAGACTTACCTAAGGTTATTTCAATTACTACATCTCCAACGATGCCATGGACCTGAAGCGTTACTGTGGGTCACTATAATGTATACTGTGACTCTATGATAGGGGTCTAGGGGCGAAGTGTCAGCCATCCAATAGTACACAAGACCCGAACAGACACCTTGTCCTCTTTAACTCTCTTTTTTTACCTTTGCCTTCTGATACTAATATTAGGCCTCATATGCCTTTCTCAACCTCTCACTCTGAAACCACTACCAACGGTCAAAGCCACCGAAAAATCGTTCCTAGTGTCTTAAGACCCCATCATCGATTTCATGTAGAAGCTTTCGACGTCCGAACTCTATGCCAAATCGGACAAAAAGCATCACTCGTCAAAATTCCAGAATCTTTATTCATGGATGTATGCAGTCCCTGACACAGGTATACAGGCCTCGAGTGTGGTAATTAAATTGACTTCACCTGGCCATAGTTGTGAATCTTCAAGACTCACTTTAAAGGCATTTGCGGACGCAGTGGCTAGCTGTCGTGGACTTGCTAGTGCATGCATAGCATTGAGCTGCAGTGCAGAAAGTGTGCTTCTTGACTGGATACCAGTCAACAGCCGTTTGCGTACTGTTCGACTGAATGGGTCTGTAAGGACTACGAAGGATCGTGGAACTAGGCAACGCCTATTCGTAATCCCGCCCACGCACTCACCAACTGCAGTTTAGATGATGGGTGTATATATATATATATATATATATATATATATATATATATATATATATATATATATATATATATATATATATATATATATATATATAATTTAAACCAATATGGAAAACACTACACAGTGTTTCAGAACAATTTATTTTAATATTTACAAACCTGATAAAACTAGTATTACCATGCACTGAAGTCAGTTAACTGTGATTTCACCATAAGTTTCTGTTTTTTGCGCATAACTTCCTCGTTCATATTCAGACTTGAGTGACCAGCATACTCATGTTTTTTGATTATAACCTTCATATCAGGCTGATCTACATCATTAATAAATTTTCCAACACCTGTTCTGTACACTTTGACAATATCTGAAAGTACAGAATGCTTTAATTAATGAAATGTGAATATATCAAATTCAGTGAACAATGCAAAGTTTTTCTACAATGTTATAAAAAACACTGGTGACGAAATATATACAGCACCAAAGATTGAATGACTTTCAATCTACAATTCATCTGTGCTTACAACTTTATGATTTATAAACTAAACTCAACCAGTCACAGGTGTTTGTTTACTAAGCTGCTAGAAACGGTGAGTATGCGAGCTTTCGAAACTACCCGTTTGCGTAGGTTGAAGTAGGCGGGTCAGGATTTGAACGTTACGTTAATATAATTATGATTTACTGTCTATGGCGTTTCGATCTAATTGCAATAACTTTATTTAACTTGTTACTCCCCTGTATGTCTTGCGGTAGAAAGCCTTAGGCTATCTGAGAAAAGCGACGAAATATTTGGCCACTGCAGAACTCTGTTTTGATTGTCAACCACTACACAATTTTCCTTGAAGATGAAAGATACTTTTCCTGGTGTAATTCGGAAGATGTAACCTCACAAAGATAGGGAACGCAACTTCACAGTCATGTCAAGATTTGCGTTTTCAGCTGTCTGCCAAATATTACGTGCAGACTAGTGATACATTCTAACCTCAGAAACTTCGGTAAGTGAAGAAAAGTTTAAAACACTGACCTACTAGTCCACCAAAGTTGTGTCTAAACTGAGTTAGGAGCATCGTGAGTGATACTAAACATTAACTTTTAGTAATAATAGGGAAAATTACTCTATTTAAGACAATTTTGATACAGTTTGGAACTCAGCATTAAGTATTGCCGAAAAACTAACTTTTACAACATAATAGCAATTAAACTATGTAAATAATATTAGTAATGAAGACAAAATTTTGTGAGTAGTTAGATATAGTTGTTTATTTACTGTTACAGAGTTGATGAGTAAGTTCTGAAGCAACATTTTTCCTTCAAATAAGATGCATGTTAGATAAGGTATAGCTGAGTTCTTGTATTTAGCCGTACGAGCATAAAGTCTTACATGATTTCTTCTTGTCCTCCCTGAGAGAGCTGTGAACAAAGAGGATACTGCGTACTTGATGGGTGACTGTAGCTAGTTGCCTACAACAGTTCATGTCCGTCAACAACGGTGTTAATCATTTGGACCAGAAGCACATCACTAACTTTAGTGACAACTTTAAAAGGCGTACGAAATACAACATAGTCCTTTTTAAGCAGGCCATGAAAGACTAACGTGGAACAATAAAGAGTAGGCAAAATGAAGAAATTAATAAGAAGTAGAAGCTGAGTCTCAACTTTCTCATGTAATGCATTTAACGAAAGGTTTTTTCTGACCAACCATACCACTCGATATTCGACTGGAGACTTTAACAACGACGATGGAAAAAACTGAAACCAATATCGACAAGGAGTCTCAACCCAGAAGATGAACAGATCGGAAACGGTCTCAATTCGTTCGTTCCCATCTGGATCTCAAAAAGCGAAGGTACTAATTTTTTTTCAAAAAGGGGAGGTGTTGTAAGGCCCCAGTTTGCATAAAACATTGTCATTGATTTGAACATTTTAACGTGTCATTCTCACACCATTTTTACGGTATGACTGGTAGTTTATTTTCCGCCCCCATTGTCATGTAATTCGCTGAGTGGTTAATCTTTACTCTTACTATGCCAATGTCTCAAATTGCGGACAAGGTTATATTTTGTGTACACACATTCGCGTGTTTTTGGGTTGGTTGATTATTATACTCGGAGGAATAAACTCTCCCATCCAGCTTCGGTCTTTTCTCTGTTCGTTCCGGGTTGCAGTCGGTCGGTGGCTCTTACGGAGGAAGTTAGCTGTGAGTTAAGCGTGCGTATTATATCCGTTCGAAACATAACAGTTGGCGTCGGAAGATATAACACTAACTCTACTAGGTGTTCACATATGGATGAAGTTGTTATTTTGCTCATCTTTGGTAAGCCGAAACGAATAATGTGCGGCAATGCGTTTTCGGAGGGTTCGCTTATGACGTCTAATATAGTCAGCTTCACAGGAGCATGTGAATTTGTAGGTGCACATAGACGGTAGCTTATTCTTCACGCATTGTCGAATCATACGACGGCTGGAGAAAATCAATCTCAGTTTAGTAGCATAAAAAGACACTATTGATACACTTTGATAGACGGCTTTTATGCACTTCAGCTGTAGTTGTCCCCTTTGAATTCCAGATTCATGATAAGAATTTTTTTAGGAAACGTAATAGGATGAAGGGTGATTCGTCTCATCAGGTTTTTATCAATAAATCTCTTAGGGTATTAGTTGTCGGATATTGTTGTTCTAAGAGTTTCAATTTCAACATCCACTGTGTCTTCTGAACAGATTTTATAGATTTTGGAACACAGCAAGTGAATGAGATTTCTTTTACAACTAAGAGGTACCCAACTACTACAGTTAGTGAACTGACCAGTCCAGGTTGGTTTGGGATAGACTGACCTTTGAATTGAACCATCATTTCTCCTTAACATTACGTCTAGAAAGTGGGACGTTGAATTTAACTTTTCTTCTATAGTGAATTTGATGGACGGGTGACTTGTTGAAACGTCTTAGAAGCTCGTCCACTGAACATGTTTCGTCACAAATAAGAAAAGTATCGTCAATGTACCTTTTATACAAATGAAGTTCCGAGATTATTTCATTAAGTGGTCCATTTTATAGCTTTAACATAAAGATATCAGCTAGGACGGAGCTTAGTGGAGACGTCATTGCGATTCCGTCCTGTTGGAAAAGTATTTTTTAAAGGAGTAACTGTCAAGGCCACCTGAGTAGCTACTGAAGTAACCAATTAGATTTCCCTATTTTCCTGAAGAAAGACTTTTTCAGTTGAGATGATGAAACTTAATTGGTCGTTTCCCGTGTAGGCTTCAGAATCACTCATGTGGAGGAGTTTTGACTGACAATTCAGGTATATAGGAAAGCGACAAACCGTATGTTTAGTTGTTCGTCAACTAGTTTTTTTCACCAACATAATATATGTATTCATTTAGACAAAAATTCATTCTGAAAGCATTTTTTAAGGCTCAGGGTATCATCTTCCGTAACTGGGATCTACACATAACTTGGTTTCATTTCTTCTTTGAAGTGTTGTTTGAGGAACTACGTTACCTTTTTAGGAGGCTTGTGGAAAAATCAACCTGTTTATGTTGTGACTTTACACGTTGAGAGCCACAAGACCCTATGATTGATTGCTCAAAGTCACTCTTCTGTACGACATTTTTCGTCAGTTACCTTACATTTTTGTCATTAATCTAGAGCTTGAAAATGTAGGCCGTAAATATACCAATTGGATGAAATAATAATTTCTATTACGAAGACAGAAAATTTTATCGAAATTAATCTTACCATTTAGCTTATGGCGTTTCGCCCGTTCAGCTGCCTCCAAAACCTCTTCTTCGCGACGATTTCCCGGTTTCGGGTGTAAGATTTGATCATTCGCGTCATTATTCTTTTCTTCGCTATAAGTGGCACGTTCTTTACTCAGCATTTCATCAACATCTTTGAATGGATCCACATACACTTCGCAATTTATAATTTGAATATCTTCCTAACGAAAAGCAACAGAACAGTAGAAGAGAAAGCAGGAGATTGTGGTCGTTTTCACTTGTGGATTCGGGCATAAAATTCTTAACTACTTTTATGTAATTACTACGCACACCAGGAAGGTAAAAAAAAAATTAGTCTACAAGTGTCCACATATCCTTGGTGTACATAATGCGTGATCATCCTTCCGATTTTGTTCCATTTAACTGTTGCATCAGCATTGCATAGGGCAGCTCACCTTTTTAACATATTTCTACTAAATTCTTTCCTAAGATGACAGTGGGACTGGAGTTATAAGGTACTGGAAGACTGTATACATAGTCTGCCGTATAGTAGGACAACTTTAGCACTGCTAAACAATAGCAGTAAAACAGAGCATTTACAGGGCAACAACTTCAGTGGCTAGTGGCTTTCATATTTAAAATGCATCGTATTAGAAATGAAAGGGAATATTGTCTCTAACTTTGAAAGTGATCTACGGAGAGGTTACCAAACGATAAAGTCAGAATCTCTGTGTAGAAAATATTTGGGATTAAAGATCCTAGAAGATGATCTGTTGTGTTTGTTTTACAAAAGGTAGCACCAGCTAACACAACTAGAAACTGTGAAAAAGAAGTAATTCGAAAACAAAAGATTTCTGAAGCAGGATTACCCCATGCACTTGAGAATAGGTATTCAATCTGGCTGATTATGAAGTTATGAAGCAGTATGTTGAATTGAAGAGTTGGATGGGAAGTCATACTTCTAAGATCCGTCTATTCGAAATCACACAGCTGAACAACAGTCAGAAGTAAACTGAACTCTGAGAATACTACAATGACTGGTTTCACTAGATTTTTTTTCTCACCCTACCTTTTCACATTTGATGGCAAAAAAAATGTTATAAATTGTTATGAGAAGCTGAGACCTTTTAGTCATGTATTTCTTTTTCGATGAGAGAATCATTTAATTGGAATAATTGATTAACAGTGCTCATGCATCAACGATAAAAAATACTAGGGATCTTTAATATGAAGATCTCAGGATGTTCCATGAGATTCTGTCCACTCGACGTGGCAACTATTACTACACAACTGACCTACATCTGAAACCATTAGAATGCTTTGCAAAAACAGGCGAATTCGCTCAGGTGGATGGATCATTGATGAGACTCCATGACAAAAACAATATAGTTTGAAATCCAGCGTAAATTACTGAAAAAAGATACACTTGAGTTAGATTCCCCTAATATATAAAACCTTTACATTTCCATGCTTGTATGAGCTATGTATGCAGTTCAATTGGATGATCATGAGACATAGCTACACTGAACGTCACAAGACAAGACTGTACCAAAAATATTCAGAGCTTTCACTGCATAAACGATTCCGGTATCATGTATGTTGGTTTCGCATCTATGAAGAGAACACTGAACAAAATGATCACTTTTCATTAGCTATAATTTTTATGCCAAATTTCAACCATATTCGCAGACCAATCTTCCGAACTGTACACTTATTCCTATCAGTTCATTTTACTTATGAAAGTGAAATCGATGATTCTATACATTTTCTTGACATGTTAATAACAAGAAGAGATGGCTCCATAAAAAGTATATACGGAAAATCGATGACTAACGCATAGTTTCGTATCAGTAGAGCGAAAACCCAATACAATCAGATACCTAGTATTTAGAGTAATAACAATTCGTTCCGAGGTGTGTGTGTGGGGGGGTAGAGAAAAACTACTGTGTATCTATAGTATTCTAAATGAAAATGAATATCTTGAAGTCTGTCAAAGCAAACTTCCCTTACATTAATCCCAAACGTGAATTGATGACAGTGGAGAAGAAACGTTTCTGCGTCTCCAATTCAAGCGAGATACTCCAAGTGGTCGGTTAGTCCTCAATCTAAGACAAAACGGTACCCCTACCTAGTCTTATCTTCTCATCTTGCATATATCAATTTAACTGTTCCTGTGAAACAAGCTGCATAGGACGTACGATTAAGCAGATACGTATCCGGATTGGTTTGCAAAAGGTGAAGTAAAACGGTAAGAAGTTCTATTTTAGTCTACCCGCTAGACACGGCGCACCACATAGATGCTAATATTGCTTTTTCTCTCATACTCCATGTTCCTAAAACACTATCGCCAACGCCTTCTCAATACAGCTGTAGCAACAAGACTGGTGAAACGTGAAATTTGCATCTAAGATTAACATGTTCAAGCGTTATTCCTCCCTTGACCTTTAATAAAATAAAGGGTGCCCCCATCTTTGTTTCTTGGATTTTTAATGGATGATCACATCTATCTGTATATGAGGTATCTTAATAGTTACAAGTTTAAAAAGAAAAACTCAGTTTCCTAACGGACCACAATTCATATTTCATTTTGAAAATGTAATTGCCCCAAATGGCCTAGTTTTAAGCTGAACAACTTCGTTTTAAAAATGCAGAACCTGATGAAAATTTGTTGAAAAGAACATTCTTCATTCAGATTGTTTATTATCTGAGCAATTTTATGATAGTATAAAACCTACCAATTGAGAAACGTTCATAGATAGACAGATCGACAAAATCAAACAGAACCCAGCACAGAAGTTCGTCGGTTCAAGTTGCTACACTTCACAGTAGCATGCAAAGAACAACTGTGTAGAAAAGATGGTATCAAAGTAGACGAAAGGTGTATGGGAGAAAAAGGAACTCGAAAAGCAAGGTTAGCGAAAATATCCAAGATTTAGAAGATGTCAAAAAGTGAATACACCTGCGTCACTGTGACTGATTTTCAGCCATGTAATCATAAGTCCCCAGCCATTGGTTCTAATTATTTCGGGGGCCTCACACAAACAAATTATACGGCTCAAACTGACAATCAGAGACATCATAGACGCATGCCACCTCTTGTTCTGGTCATCCTGAACCTTCTTTCAACCTAATCCAAATTCTGCTAGCATTACACATAGAGAATGGGGGTGACTCAGCATGCGCGACTCGTCTAAGCCAATTTATAGTAAAGCTTGCAGTTGATTGCCTTTGCGAGCGTTCATCTTTTACACATTTCCATTTCGTGAGTTTTCTAATCTATTTATATATCTTCACGTTTGTGCGTAAGAATGGAAGTTTTCACCTGTTATAAGCTATATGTAAAAACTGACTAAACTATGTGATCCATCCACTTATAGATAACATGTATACAATAGATCCAGAGGGAACTGAATGTCATATTTGTTCGATAAAACCTATCTTAAGAGAAGCTAGAAAATAAAATAGAAATAATGTAGGTCAAACTCATAAAAGCTTTTATGTGCTAAGCTACGAGCCATATCCATTGTCTGAGAGCTTATGATAATCAGTTGTTCAGGTCGAGCAGATTTTGAACCTGAGACTTATTACATGAAAGTTGAGCACCTAAGTCAATAAGTCGCATCACTAGGAAAGTATTTCACTAGTGTTCACACATTTAAGCGTATTTCTTTAGGAGCTTGTTAAGTCTTAAGAGCTACATATTCTCTGGTGTTTTCGTCATGTTTGCTAACTCAGGGTTTTATTATAAGGGTTGAGTGAGTATTCATTAAGCATATTGGTAAGGTCACAATATGGTGACTGTCTGAAAAGTACGATTTAAATGCACCTAAAATCACATCCGACTTACAGAAAACACTACTCTGAAGATATGAGAACGAGTTTTAAAGTAAACTTCAGAACTAAAGGTATAATTACATTTCACTTACTAATGGTCGGTCATCTTTATCTGTTTCCAACATTTCGATTTTCCCCAGTATATCTAGACCTCCTACAACTCTGAATTATAATTATGGTATGAGAGAAATTTGAGAACATACTTTCCAAAGACCGTGTGTTTCCGATCCAAATGTTTACAGTTTCGAAAAGTGATAAAACTACAAAGACATGGATTGGATAAAAAGTAGATACAGGAAATTCACACTTACAACTGTGATTGATTAGAATTTGGTCCAGAATTAGCCATAGATAAAACACCACGTGTGTCATGACTTAAATTAGGAACGAATTCATCTGAAAAAGGTCTACCCCATATTGATTCACCACCAAATCCAGTTCCACTTGGATCCCCACCTTGGACCTAAGAAAACTGTAATAAATCGCTTTGAAAAAAATTGGTTGAACCTACAATAAAGTAGCGAATCAGTCTATGAAAAGTTGTATCGTTGTAGTAACCTGATGAACAGTGACGTATAAAATTCTCACACGTTTTTGGGACTAAATCACAATGTAGCTCAAGATTTAGCTTTCCATGTGATGTAATCAAACTGACATAACCTTTCTTCTTCACATATTTGTAACGGACAACATCGTCCTCAAGAACTGCTACAATAGGAAATAGTTTAATTGGATTGTTTATATGTCTTCTAAACAAAAAAACAAACCTGGTTCAATTTTAGTAATTGGTTCCATAACAGTTGACGTAAGTGAAGCTGCTGCACGACCAGTAGAATACGTAGCCTAGAGAATAATTGGAGGACAATTTATTTTATATTTTAAAATGTATTCATTTACTGTGTTGAAAGCGTCACGTTTTTTCCCTAAGTCCATTGAGTTTTTCTTTGCTGAGTACATGTAATCTGGTACCGAGATTTCCTTAGGCAATTCAGCTAGTGTTTCTTTTGTCTCTTGATTCAATGAACGTATAACTACTACATTGCCTTCGTCTACAAAACAAAAAGTAATCATGTAGACACACTGAATGTGTTTCAAGCATACTTTGTGCTTCTTCTTTATTCTTTACATGATAAAAAGCGGAAATATTAAACTTTTCTAATCGAGTAGGATCTTGTATTGTGATGACATCATCTTTTGTAAATGATTCCGATGTGAGTAAGTCAAGAAAATTATTTGCCTTCAGGTTTAATCGTTGCACAGCCTAGAAATATGTTATCATTATTATCGTAATACTTGAATTCGACATTACATCAAATGAGTAAACATTTCCTGTTGGTCTAATTGCAACAATATGAGTATTCTCATTGAACACTTTAAACGTTACTGGGCAATGAAATTTCCCATCAGAATTTCGGTGGAAATTTAACTTGATCAATTCACTCATTTTCATTTTCTGAACAAACATCAAATTACTGCCGAAAATAGACCTTGTTTCCTACCATTCCTGTGACAGGATTGATTCCATGCTTCTTTAGAAAGGGTAAAATATTTCTACACACATATGTGACAAATGTTTTACTGGTCAAATTACTTACTCCAAATCAAAAATTATACCCTCCTTTGTACAGTAGGGATTCGTGAAAGGTTGGAATGTGATGCTTTAAATGAAATTTAAAAGTTGAATGAAAACGAAAACTACCTACCTACAACAATGAAATGGAAGACGTTTAAATTGTCTACCACTTTCAGTGGCACGTTTTCCACCATACAACGTACTCCATTCTGTACACGTGATATATCTTCAGGTATATATATATAAACAATGAAATAATTATCAAGGTGACAAAGTACTAACAGTTTATCTTTTTGATGTTGTTTTTTCCCCATAGTTAACGTTCACCCTGATTGATTGATTCTATAAAACGAAGACAGTCCTACAAAGGCCGGATAGCCTGAAATAAGATTGAAAAAATAACACTCAACTTTATATAAGTAAGTACTTCGGTGTACAATATATCTATATTTAACAGACAGTATAAAGTGAGAACTTATTCAATTTACAAGTATATTTTGATGCTTGAGATGTTGAACAACAATTTAAAAACACTCAGTCATGAAAAATTATGACCAAAAAATCAACATTAACATAAGGGGCTAGAAATTGGACACTGCGACAGTGCATAATTCGATGTCAGTTACTTCGTACTGGGTGATGATTGAAGGTGAGATGAAAATCTCGACCGCGGCCGGATTCGAACCAGCGACCACTTTCAACTATCACCCAGTACAAATAGTAGTCTGCCAAACTACGGCTATCATAGATAGTCAAATCATAGTCAGTTATTTTGTTGGATATACCACAGAGCAAGACAGTAACTTTGCTGAGATACGTTTTGGGCACAATTTTTTTCATAACCTCATCAGCATAGGTACACAAATTCGAGACCTAGTTTTTATAGTCCTAATCCTTCCACTTCATTTACGGTGCAAGTAGTAGGATTTCTTATACACGTGCAAAAAAGATAATGAAAGTATCAGGCTATTAAAAACTAGGCCTTAAAGTTGCGAATACCTTAGTAAGACTATGGACAACAAATTGTGTCCGGAAAATTAACCACAGAATAATACTGCTTCACTGTTTGATATGTCTTGCGAGGAAGCACTATCATTGTCGTCTGCACGACATACTTTCTATCAAATCATTCAACATTGAAAAACAGTTCAGTCTGAGATCATAGCAGACAAATTGACACACTGAACGATTTTTTCCGTTGCTCAAAAGTAGATGAACTAAAGTAGTTGGAATATCTGATAGGTGAAATTTAAATGTCTATTAGTCTAAATTCGTCTTAACATGGTTAAAAATGCCAACCGTACATTTGGAAACTTTTTACTACTTTAATTCCACTTCTCATTAAAATTCTTATCGGTGCTTCCTAACTTTAAATACGGTTACTCACTTATTTCGTCTAAAGTTCTAGCGCATTGGTGTGTTTAAACGCTAAGTCATCACCAAACGAATGGAAAATGGGGATTGATCTAGCAAGTAATTTTTTAACCGGTTTAAGAATGTACTTAAAAATGTAGACTTTCTAGATGGGGTCTGTGACTTGACCATCAGGGCTGTCCAGTTTGTTTATTCTTATTTACATTTTTCACAGAAATTTGTATTAATGTCTCACTCTCTTCCTCGACTTTACAAAGACCTTACCACAGAAGACACTCTCTTTGAACTAGAGTACGAAGATGACATAGTCCTGTTAAGTGAAGACAAGATGAGGAGAGATGTGAACACCTTAAGAAGCACTTTGTGAATGCTTAGTATATCTTTTTCACTACCCTAATGCAAGTCATTCCCTCAAAACTAGTCTGCGCTGGTGCTCGGACTAACAATTAGAAGTGAATTGATTGAGTGCGTCAACCAATTTACTTTATTAGGAAAGTGAATCAGCCCCAGTAGATTACTGACCACAAAAATCTCTGCATGCATAAAAAAGATTCTATTTGCTTGTGCCAACTTATGCCATCCGCAGCTTCCATGTGATACCCGATTGCACTCAAGAGGCAAGAGTATTAGGCTGCAGTTCGCTCCGCTCTACTACATGTTTGTGAAATACGGCCACTAAAAGCAAAGACAATGCGAAAACCAGAGGTTGAATTTCGTGGGGTTTGTGGGGATTTAGAGATATTTCAAGTTGGTATTCATCATAGACTGATATCAGTTAGAGGAACAACGGAAATCTAGGAGCACTGGGCAGCTGTTTCTTCCTAGTACGGGACTCTTCGGAAGTGCACACCCACGACCGCGACAGGGATTGAACCCGCGACCTTCAGGTTCCGTGGCGGGGTCGTGGGTGCACACCGTTGAAGAGTCCCATACTAGGGCGAAACAGCTGCCCAGTGCTCCCAAGTTTCCATTGTTCCTCCAACTGTTGTCAGTCTACGGTGAATACCAACTTGAAAACTGGAGGTGCTCGACAACCATTGCCTTCATGCCAAGGGCTGTAGAACACCACATCGGCAACGCAGAAGTTAGGCATTAAGTTTAACGCAAAAGAGGTTATTCATTAGATAAGGTTGTTTGAGATTGCTAGAGTTTGTGCTATGCGTGTGCAGTCACCATCTACCCCTTTGTGCAATGATAGTTGAATTCGGTTTAGGCTAGAAAAATGTTAAAGGCAACCAGACTAAAATATAGCATCAGTCCATGAATTCTCTGGCCGTTGGTTTGAGTCATATATGGGAATGTGATTTCCCCGATGTTATTTAGGCTACAACCGGAATCACTGGCTGGAGGTTCTGGGTGATATGGCTCATATTTGTTCTGGATGGCGTACATTTTTCTTTATCTCAATCATCATATTACACTTCATAATTTACTTTAACCCCTTCTTTTTTCGTCTTAAGGATCCCATGGCTTTTGATGACATTGTCTTCTTGGACTTATCATTCATCCTGTTGTTTTGTAGATGAATGTGCTGATATGATTTTTGGCAGCTTGGAACATTATAGTAACGTTAATTCTTACGTCAGTATTGACTGACTAACATGAATGAAACAGCGATAAAAGGCTGTTAATGTTGGTTCAGTCAAATACTGAAGTTTCCACTTCAGTGCTTAGCATAATAATGACATCGATAAAAGTATGAAACTGATGTCACAGAAATCTTGGACATGCATACAGACAACATACATCTGAATTAACAGAAGAATAATTTAAATGGAACAATGGACTGAAATTTTGTATCCAAGGCTACGAAATATAGCGCAAATCGACAAAGATGCTTGCCAGTGTTTCATTTGATTGGCATTTCAAATGCAGAGGGTAGTAAGCTCAAATGTGATACGTGCTGTCAGAACACCTATTATCAGGAAATCTATCTGAAGATGGTTTCAGGAAATGAACTAATTAGTGATTCAGGTCAATTCATATGCTCTAAAACCTTTAACAATGGTCAAATAGTGAGTGCAGTGAAGATATAAAATAAGGAAGGATAAAAGTGTGTACACTCCCTTTTATAAAAAAACAATGTGCTAATTTATAAACAAATGAAGGCAAGACCAGAACGGAAAAGTAGATACTTTACACGTTAGAACTACTGGCTCGCAAGTGAATGCTGGTTAACCCCCCCCCCCTGGATTACTATAAAAATAAGACCATTCGGTGTATTATAACAGAATACGGTACCAGTTTTCTGTTAGCTAAAACTTCACTGTCGGGAGAACAGACCTCAAAAAATGTCATTCACAGCAAATGACATCTTATTGCAATTGCACACTACATCTTAGCAGAATTGGCTACTTGTTGAAGTTTCTAAGAATTTCTTTAAGTAAACCATCCCAATAAAAATAATACTGGTTTTGTTAATGGACTGCTATGACGACAAGAAGTTTTTTTCAAATTCAGAAGTCATAAAACCTTTGTACATGCCTTGAATGCTGCTTTCCAACTGATGTATTTATCAATTTATGCATTTTTATTGTAAGAGGCAATTTATATAAATCAGACAAATCGACTAGGAATGCAAACAGATAATAAGATAGTAGTTAAACTTAAGGGCAACATTTACGACAAAGTGAATTGGGAATGAATTGAGAGTAAAATTAGTGCGAAAACAGTGACATAATTTACGTGTACATATAAAAGTAGATAATAATGTCTACTGTATTTCTAAACCTTTCCGTAAACAAATACTGAGTATGTATGCGATTTTTCATGCCTTCTGAATCTTCTTACAGATATTTAGTTGGTTGAAGAATACTGATATGAGACCTGGGAATACCAAGTTATTACTTCACACCAACATATTAAGGCACAAGACAAGGTAGTGAAAATTGTCGTGAAAGGTCACAGAAAGCTACCAAAAAAGAGAGGGGTAAACGTTAGTACGAAAATATAATACAACTAGTAATATTAAGACAAGACTTTCGAACATCTCCCCCGCCACAATTCCGAGCCATATCACCTAAAATATGGGTTTTGCTTGTCACTTGGACCCCAACCTAGAGGTTTACACAAGTTCTTACTATTTCTATTAAAAAAGACCTAGAAGAATGTCATTTGAAGTGGGTCATGGTGTGTATGCAACAACTGGATGAACTTCAAAAACAATGTAACTAAAGGTGACATTATATGTCAAAATAATCCTTTCCACATAGCGATTGGTCACTGAGAGCAACCGATTTCATGTTTTTTAGTCCTCAATGCTGACTGAATTCTAACGATCATTTTGTAATGTGGCTACCAAGCTAGGAGGCTCGCACTATCGCGGTGCACTCGAGGTTGCAGAAACGCCTTGCTGAAAAGTGTCAACAACCATGAAACCTAAGTCTACGGCTTTCTAATAGTTAGCTTCAGCCAAATAAAATCCTACTTACAGTCGACAAATGACGGAGATAAACATTATAACACATAAGATTGTAAGCTGAGCAGATAAAGTAAGGAAAAATTGAATTTAAGCGTCCTTGAGCTACTTTGAAAATTCATACTTATGAGGTACCAAGGCCCAAGCTCAAGAATATCCTCAAACATTAGGACCTGCTATCAGCACTGCACAATTTTTTGTGAATAGTCCACTTTTGCCCAATAAAGCACCGCTGTTCCGAATGTCAGTGACTTCGTTAGTGAAGAATACCTATTTGCTACTTTAGATGATTGATAATTTTTTCCTAATCAGTGTATTGCAGTCAAAGTTGTGGTAGCGAAATACCACTGTCGCTAGACAGTAAAGAAACTTGACACGCCAATAAGCAGTACTCCTGCTACTTTAATTGAAACTAGTAAAAACACACTAAAGTGTTTTCATGTTTACCAGTGAGCTAGTAAAATTCAACCAAAGAGCATTCTTCATCAGAACGATAAATTTTGTACACCACGAAAACTGGCT